GTATTTGTGAACAGAGTATTTTTGTGTGGCCAAACTTTGAAGTATAGAGGTCATGGAAGCTTAGAGTGCTGATAAGTGGAAAATCTTTGAATGCTTTAACACTTCTTCCTGAAGCTTGTTATGTCTATGCAGGAGTCCTCCCATAGGAGATGCTATGGGCTGTGCCTTCCTCAAGCCTCACTGTTGCCCTGAGGACACCTGCCTTTTCCTGGAGCCATGGCAAACCTTGCAAAAACTGTCTTTATAAGCATAGATTTGCTAGCACTAGGATGGCATGCCGGCTCTTCACTGCTTCAGTTGTTGATGTAGCTGCTAAGGAGCAAGTAAGGCTTTTTAATAACTCTTCTTGTAGCTAGGTATGAAGCTCCATTAGGGAAAGGAAGAGCTGTTTTGTAATTCCCACAGGCAAGCCAAAGTCTGTGAGGTTGTCTGCGGGGACAGCTAGACACAGGGAAATGATGACTATTACTAACAAAGTGACTATGTCCTTGACAGATATGAAAATGTTTACCCGAAAAGTGGCAGAAAATTTCTAGATTCTGCATTCATCTAAAAAGCTATTAGAAAATTGGTTGAAGCTGTAAACCGGAGGATTTCTTGCGTAGAACAGTGATGGAGATAAACACATTAGGAATTTTCCTTCTCCTCTGAGAGTTGAGAGAAGCTGAATTTAATTAGTTTCAAGTCTCGTCTATTGGGAAACTGCAAACAAAAGTGCTTTCTTAAATCAGGGATACAGAAGATCTAATTCAGGTCTCTGCTGGTAAGAAGGTTCATTTTATGAAGAACCAAGGCTTTCAAGGTGCTATTCAAACAATTTAAAATGCCATTTTGAGCAAGATAATTTCTTGCATAAACACTCACCTACATGGATGAGCACTGGCAAAGAATTTGTATAGCTGAACTATGAGCAGGACATCTTTGTAACAAAACCACTTCAGCCGACTGCCAGCATAAATAATTCTGATCAAAAATTGTCAAATTAATAGAAGGAAAACACAGGTCACTGTATGCACTGGCTTTTCTCAGCAGCCATGTATGAGAGAAATCATTCAAGAGGAGAGCAGAGCTTTGCTGCAGCACTTTGGTGACTGAGTGTGAAGGCATCCATTCAAACAAGTTTTCTAATTGCAGCAGAGTCCAGAAATGGCCCCTCAATAAAACAGATCATTAACTTGTTTGATGAGGAGGAACTGCAGCGGGCAAGAAACATAAAGTAGGTGTGAGGGGTGGGAAATGAATTGGTGAAACTGATGGTAAGCTGGGATATAATGAAATACAGATAGCAGGTAATCAGGTTTTGAAAACATGGTTGTTTGCCATGGTTCATGACATCCTACAAGCTGGCATTTCTATACATTTTGTGTATCTCAAATTATTGTCATATGTTTTTCAGTAGCAACAACATATCCAGTCCGTTGCCTCCTGCCCTGGCAGACCCCAGACTAGTTGAGGACTAGAGGAAAACAAACTGGTATCTTTCCAGGGTATAAAAAATATCTAGTACCAACCTCCTACACAAAATTCTTCTTGTGCATGTAAATATACAAAGCAATGCCAAAACTTTGCTGTTTGATATAAATTGATATTCTGCTTTTGCTGTAAATGAGTTTTCTATGTTACAAAGCCTTATAATAGTGAATAACATTAATTGCTCAAGCCAAGTCAATGGAGTTATTCCGTGAAATGTATATACTGGGGATACCTGAAGGTGCTTTTGTTGAATATGTTCTTAAATGTTAATGGTTACATGGCATAAAATTTAACCGCCAGATATGATTTTGTGCTATGATAGTTACTTGGAGGCTTTGGTTAATGAATTTTAAATGGATGAATTAAATTTAATTAAATATTGACACTGGGAATAAGATATGCCAGCTAAAAATCTCTGGCTGCTTATAATAGGGGTTCAGAAAGTTAATGGAGCCCTGCAGGTTTTTCTCTGAGGTTTATAAAGAACTGCCTAGCCTACTTGCTCAACACTTTGGCAGACACTAAGCAAAATATTTCTCCATGTTTTCAGTAATGGGATTGCCATTGGTTTACTCAGGTTTGGTAGAAGATGAAAAGGAGGTAAATAATTTTTCTTACCTGAAAAAGGTGAGTTACCCCATGAAATGACAAGATGACAATTGTACACAGAGACTGATAATTCTTAAAATATCCTACAGTCTATTGCACTCACTCTTCACTGCAGGTGTAATTATTTTCTGTGCATTTAAACTGCCTGAATTTCCAGGACTTAAGACAATTTGTGTTAGATAAGCTTATCGCCTGCTGAAGCAAGAAGTACTTTGAAGTCATTAACTATGTGTTGGTGAGTACAACCTTTGCCATTATGTGCACTGTTTGAGTTTAATGCTTTCCATCGGACACACCTTTTTTCTTTCCTGACTATACAGTGTGAATTGAGGGCTGTGTTCGAATCCCTCGCTCCTCTCGGATTAACTTGCCACAGTCTAACTCCGTAGATAAGGTGGTGCCAGAGGTGGAGTTGGACGGATGGGTTTGTTTACACTGTAGTCCATAAAAGAAACAAAAGGCCTTGCATGCAAGAAAAGAAAAATGGAGAAAATAAATAAATGAAAGAAGTAAAATTAAAAGCAAATATGAAAATGAGATTCAAAAGCTATTTAAATCAAAAGAGGTCCTATTTATGGAAACAGAAAAGTCATAGATTGTATTCAACTCACACTTTGGATTAGTTTAGTGATAATATACACTGTATAGCATTTTCCATCTAAGCTTCTTATTTCACCAGAATAAAAATAAAATTAACTGAAAGAAATCAGGAAGTAACACTGGAATCGCTGGTACTCTTCTTTCCGTAAAATTACTTCTGGAAACCAAGTATGATGTTGCCACATTAATTCACTTAAAGATTTTAATTATTAAAAGACTACCTATAATAACCAACACATTGCTGTGAAACAGTAGCACAGTTTCAGAAACAGGATATGTATATATGTATCCTGAATGCTAACCACATTATTCACTCAACATTCTGCTCAGTAAATTAACATTCCTTCATGATGTAAAGTTTTAGGTCTACTTTAATTATGACTTCAGGTACTCGTTGCCTTTCTCAGACTCCTGAAGAGTTTCCAGGATGTTCTGCACCACATTAGCATTTACACTAAACATTTTAATTAGCTGCAAAAGTTCTCCAAAACATATTTGAATGAAAGATCTCCTGAGACATGAATGAAACAAAGATATCAATACATTCTTTATGCATTTTGTGCTAAAACTGTTTTATAGGGTTAAAGTACTAATCAGAAAACTGAAATGTGTGCAACATACATTCATCCTTTATCTTTGACTTATTCCAAAACAGGGACACTTTGATTAATATGGCCCGCAAAATTGCTCCACATGAGCTGCATCTGTTGTTCATAGACAGCGCCATTGTCTTTCATGAGGGCTTTGTCAGGCACACATGGAGATGCCCGCATGGTCAGGAGCTGCCTTCTCCTGCAGGAAACTGTGAGGACTAAGTTCACTGACACTGACACTGGGTGCCGTGGACGTAAAATAACACCAAGTGCCTTTTGGAAAATGAAGATGTGTGTCAAGACTCAGTTCAGTAGCTTTCTGCCATCTGAACAGCAGGCATGTAGCCTGAGCTTACGGTGATCCCTTACCAGCAGCAAGAAGGTATAGTTGAGTTATCCTATCCAAAAACAGACGTTGTCCTCTCAAGGCCCTCAGCCCTGGCTGCTTGTTTTCACTCAGGTGTCAATCCATCTCAGGTCCCAGCACCACTGCTGTATGCAGTGTAAACTGCACCTCTGAGACCAAGTTCAGCATATTCTCCTTCTCTCACTCATCCCTGCTGCCTTCACTAAGGTTATTTTTCTCAACAGTAATTTCTGGCATTTATGTCATCAGCCTTGCAGGATTACACCTTGGCTGAAGAAGATTAATTGCTCATAGAAAAACTCCTGCCTTTCCCATCTAAAAGTGCAAAGTGAGCTTAAACAACTTGCCTAGAAGTAGATGACTCATGTTTAGAAACCTGAAGTTAGGAGATATGAACCCACCTTTTGGTGATTGCCTCAGAGGTCACCAATCCTGCAGCACAATGTGACCCTTGTCCCTATGATAAGTCCTGTTGAAGTGAACAGGATGAGAGCAGCTACAGCAGTTGAGCCAGAGGACCACATCAGGGTCTACAACATGGCCAGAACCCAACCAGCACCAGGGAAGGCAGCCTGAGTAAGAGGGTTGGCAGACAACTTCATGGACAGACTCCAAGTTGCTGCTGCTCATGCTTTGTTTCTTTTACAGTGGCTGGTTGTTCAGTAAACTGATATTTACACTCTATTTTAATGATTGATCCTATTTCACAAACTGCTGTAATACTCAAGGTATGATTTATACACAGCGTTTCCTTTGTTTTCCCTCTGCCCTTTTAAATTGCTCATTACGCTTCAGCGGAGCTATAACCAGAATTTCTTTGGCTCCATAATCTTAGTTTACTGTGGCATCCATCACCTTTCAGTAGGTCTCCCTGCTTTGAAGTGCACACTTGAGCACAGTGTGTAAATTCCTGGCTGTGAAAAAAACCTGCTTTCTCGAGCAAGGGAAAAAATACACTTGGGGATTTGGAAGTACATTCCTGTTGTTACTCAAAGGGCTGATACTAATGTCATATATTAAAAAAAAACAAAAAAAACCAAAAAAAAAACAAAAACAAAACCAAAACAGTTTTATTTTATTCCTTTCCAATGTAATTTATACTTGAAGTCTTAAAGATCAAGCAGAAACTGTTTGAGAAATTAATTCCTCTTGTTCTGCACTGCCATACTAAACAGCACTAATTGGACTGTGGGTGAAGTACTTCCCTGTTCTTATTAATAAATTATTTGTCTTTAGTGCCAGAAATGCATGGTGAGAGTTCAGCAAAATCTGCACTCCAGCAGAGACTTACAATGCAGTCACATCCACAAACCTCAACCTCCCCAGAAATGTAAGCAATCTGGAAATGGATGACTCACCTGCTCAATATCGCTGTTTTTCCTTGATTTATATATAAATTCACCAATGGCTACAAACACTGAAAGAACAAGCCCTGCAGCAAGCACTATGAAGATGCCCCCAATGTTTTCTACCCCAAGAGCACTGGCTTCTTTGCTGTCTTCCTCGGGGCAGCCATTGCCCCGCCACCACTTTTCCTTCATCATGTGCAGCTTTCCCTCCTCCTGGAGCTGGAGGATGGCAATGGTGATCTTGTCTCTGTAAGGAGACCCTGCAAGATGAAAGCAAGACCTGTCAGTGCTGGTTGCAGCAAAGTGAAGGCAGGGAGGGAGCAAGCTGCTGCTATCTGAAGCAAAAGTGTTCCCTTATCATGAGACTCATTATTCCAGCTAGAAAGCGATGGTTTCTCTTTGGAAGGAGGAAGAATACTATCTGTTTGTGTCTGCCCCAGGGACTGGAAAGCAGAAGGTTCCTTTGGTGTGGTTATTCGTTTGAGAATCCATTATAATTTCTAGGGTCTCCTACTGAAGTTTATTTAAACCTTGGCACTGGGTTTTCTTGCTAAGTAATTCCTCCACATCATGTTTGAATATGGCTTTGAGCATCCTTTGAGACTTTCCGCTTTGCATCTCTTCTGTTTACTCCAACATCTGTTTATTTTTCCTACTGCATGTAAAATGAGTAGCTGTCTAAGAAAAGCTCATAGTCAGTCAGATGCATTCGCTTCTAGACTTTTTTTTCATGACTTGCAAAAATATTGGCACTGCAAACTGAAAATAGCAACTATTTTCATGCTTTTTCTTTTCAGGCCAACAGCTTGCTAAATTATGTGTCTTCAGGCTTAGTAGCGTTAATGGGCCTGTACAGTATCTGGCAAATAGCGGGGTCACGGTGGGTGGTTCAATCTGTTTAGGTTTGCCTCTCGTGTTCTGCTCTGGCTCTCCATCTCCCCAGATCTCTGCTGCCTGTTAAGTTCCTTCAGCCAGCTCATGCTCTTGCAGAAGCATGAGCCTGTAGCCCTCAAAGGGGACAAGGGAGAAGCTCGCCCCTGGCCGTGCTTCTGGAGCAGTGCCTAGTTAAAGGAAATTGCTACCAATTAGCTTTTTCCACGTTGCCAGAAGCTGAAGTTATCCACAATAATAGCAGCAAGCCTATTATTAATTATAATAGACAAGTGGAAGTTGGTTTTGGCATTGTGAGAGAGGCTTTTCTTTGCAGGGCAAGGATTTTATGAGAGAGTTACAAGAAAGGCTGTTTGGCTCTAAAGGTGTGACCCCAAACCCTGCCATGTTGGGCTTCCTACAGTTGGAAGCATTTAGTGTCTGGGCTGAAATACAGTCAGTGTCGCCAGTCCTTTGTCCATGTAGCTAACTACCATCCATCCTTTCCTCTCCCTTATCACATTAATAAGACTGTCTTCTGAAGCTGTAATTCAAAAGTCACACTTTGCTGCAAATTAAAACAGTTGCAATTCTCAATCAAGGTAAACAAACCTTAAAGCAGAATGTGTGTCAGAATTTCAGTGGTAGCATGGTGCCCATAGATGTAAATACTTGAGAAATTCTCCCTAGGCACCACTTTTGTGTCTTTATGCATCTAAATATCCTTGGAAATTTGGCCTCACAGCTTCAGTTTTCTTTCTTATATTGCCATGCAGGACACTATTAGAAATAATTTTACCATGAATACAAGTCCCCCTCTCTGCTTTCCATTTCCTTTAGCTCACAGCATTGTCTGAGGAGAATCAGTGTGAAAAACATTGCAGTTCTTCTTTTGTTGCACCAACACTCAGCTATTTATCAGTGTATCTTCCTGCCAGCATTAGGACATGCTGTGACCACAGATGCCAAGAGACATGCCAGATTATACAAAGTCCATCTGGGAAGCCAGCAATCAGCAGCCACTGCTTGAGGTAGCCAGCTTTGAAAGGAAAACATGCCTACTGTAAGAATAGATGATTTCTATGCATGCTATTAAAGAGCCAAAAATAAGGACAACAGAAAATAAACCAGAAACACCTTCAAAACTGTCTTTACACAGAGAAGTGAATTATTACCACTGAAAACAGCAGTGCTTCTTAGAAGAAAGAGCAGAATTGTTTCTACCTTAGGAGAAGTTTGTCGCCCTGATAGCTGGAGTCTGTTAGATTCGAGGACTCATCTATTTTCCCTTGTCTGAAAGGACACAGCTATTAAGTGAAGCAGCCTGCGTCACAATGCAGGATTTGTGGGAATGTTCATTCTTTCTTATGATGTTTATGTTGCCATCAGGATTATCGCAATTCATCTTGAGAGTAACAGGTACATCTATATTTCTACACATGCTTTTAAAGTTTGTCAAGTGTGCCTGAAGCAGTGGATTAGTGATATTTTATTGGTGAGCACTAAAACTCCACACAAATCCATCTCAATACCTCTTTGAATATTCCGCATATCATTTATGGCCTCTGAGCTATTAACAACCTCCCACTCAGGCCAAGAAATGCATCTATCTACTTTGTTAGCAGTCTCACAAGTAACTGGTAACAGCTTTACTGTTAGAATTAGTAGCATCAGGACTGGCAGCAATAACGGAATTAATACCTGTCCTGATACCTACAGTAATGTTGCTTTCTTCAATTGGATTCCTCCCAGGGTGACATTTTGCACAGGTTTTGCTTAGAGGTATTGCTACAGCAGTACTTCCAGGGTGCACTAAGTTCACCACCAAACATCGCTGCAGATTTTTAATTAGTAATGGTCTTTGCCAAGAATCTGATGGAAACCTTCCTCTTTGTGACCCATTGACTCCATAATAAACATAAATGGAGCTGTTTGCTGATACGCCTACATGTTCTTTAACCTAACTCAGCACAAAGAAGTAGGAAGACAGTCTGTATCTATAGGTATTTACTTGCAGAATTTGCTCTGATAAATAAAATAGTACTTTCATAGAAGAACATTCAAAAATTCTCCTTCCTGTTTGTTTGGGAGCCAAATGGTGATGGTATTCAGCTCATTCGCTGGAAATTTTGGAGTGTGAGTTATACTTTTGCTGCTGCAAACCCAAGCTGTGTGGTTGTGCATTCTTCCGAAGGAACTAAAGGAGACCAGTTAAGACTTGCTGTAAATTTGGTGTTAAGGATCACAGACAAGTCTTCTTTTTCTTTTTCCATACAGCTTCTGCAATCAATAGTGTTGAATGGTATGAGAAAAAGAACAGAGCCTTTGGGGTCCATCTGAATAGTGGAAGGATCTCCATGGCTTATCTTGTTTATGAAATCAGTCTTTTAAAAATGTAAGATGCCTGATCACACTGAACTATTTCACAGTGCTTGGAGTTATCTATTCCCCTGAATCTTGCTGGTTTTCCTTAAGATAAAAATTGAGGCACATTTATCATATAAGAAACATCTTATAAATGTATTTCACAGCTGTATTTGGATGCACTCTCTCTGAAGATTACCATCTGTTCCAATTATTCCTTCATCGTTCTTGGTTTAAAGTGTGGCAGCTTTATAACTGCAATGGAACTCTTGCCATACATTTGTCTTTATTCAGGAGTTTAGCTTTTGTATCTTTGTCCTCAGGGTGAGATGGCTGTTCCCACATAGCCAGTGGAAAAACAGACTTTAAGTGTTATCTATATGACAATCTGTCTGAGGCACTTAGTAGCATAGATAATTGCAGTTCAAAGTGCGGTGGTGTTCCTCCCTTATTTATCTCTTATCTACCAAGCAACTGACCAAATACTTCACCTGTTATATCTGTGTAAAGTGATAATTACTTTGAATAATTAACCTGAAGACAATAAAGTTGCATAGCTATTGACTGAGCATGGCATGGTAAATGCATCTGTGAGCAGTATGGAGAAGTATATTATACAGGTGTCCTGGTTTTGTCTGGGGTAGAACTAATTTTCTTAGTAGCTACAATAGTGCTGTGTTTTGAATTTAGTATGAGATTTGGTATGAGAAGAATGTTGATAATATACTGATGTTTTTAGTTGTTGCTAAGAAATCAAGGACTTTCTAACTTCTCATGCTTTGCTAATGTGCGGGTAGGATGGAGTATAGCCAGAGCAATGGATCCAAATCGGCATTTGGACATGCTAATGGGATATTCTATATCATATAATATCACTTTCAGTATATAAATGAGGTTGGATGGAAAGCGCTCTCTCTCTTCCAAGAGAGCAGTTTTTGGGATTTTCTCTCCTCTGGGATCACTAGCCAGGAACGGGCTGGGCATTGATCAGCATGTGGTGAGCAATTGCACTGTGCATCACTCATTTGTATATTCCATTATTACTATTATAATAATTAATATTTTTATTTTATTTTATTTTACTTATTAAATTGTTCCTATCTCAACCCATGAGTCTCCTTACCTTTACCCCTCCAATTCTCTCCCCTGTTCCCCAGGGCAGGGCAGAATGAGCGAGCAGCTGTGTGGTGTTTGGCTGCTGGCTGGGTTAAACCATGACAACAGGAAAAAGATCTGGCTGCCCAGTGCCAATTATTCACAAGAACTCAGCACAAAAAATTCTAATTCTCTACAATTAGAAAATCTTGAAAAGGACACTGCATTTACTAAAAAAGGTCTACCGGAAAGAGTTCACAGAGATTGGTAGTCTTGAGACTCTGCTTAGCTCTAAACATGGAAATCCCTGACGCAGGTGGAGAACCTTGCAATTACTTCTCCCTGTTCTTATGTGTTGCTCTGAGGTCATGACTGTTTTGATAAGAAAGGTTTCTAAAAGACCAGGACGTGTTTCAAATGGCCTTCTAAATTTCTGAGGAAGACATTGCTGGTTGTGCTTCACACCACCTGTGCTGGAAAGCACCTTACCAATAGGGGTTCCCACTCCATAGCCTTTCGAATCGATGAGCCCCCCGATCTGGGTGAGATTGCAGTTTCTCTGAGTCACATACTCTATGCTGGTTGACTCCATTAGCAGTGCATAGTCCGTTGTCAGCACGCGCTGGATTCCCTCGTCGTTGTTCTTCATCAGTGCTGTCTGCTGCCTGCTGCTCATGAACGCCCACATCTTCTCATATGTTGATATTTTAGATTTCTAAGGAGAGGAAATGAGGGCATAGAATTACATCAGCACCCAAATTACACTCGTAAAATGTTCCTCAGCCTTTTGTTGTGAACGATGCCAAAAGCACATTCTGAATGAAAGAGAATCAGTAGCAGGGTTTTCCTTCCCGCAGCCTTTTTATCTTACTGTGCTTTATGCTGAGGAATCTCTTTTTTTGCTTCCTTTTCAGTGCCAAGAACTTCATTACTGGCATGACTGTGAAGTGCTTTGAAGTTTTTTGGGCTAATGCTGGTACATGGGTTACAGCACATAACCCAGCCAAATTAGTGCAGCTGGATAGTGCTGCACTCAGAAGCAGTGCATCTGCCTGTCAGGGCAAACACGCTATTCCAAAAGCCTGATGATTAATAAAGTACTGGCTCTTTTGTATTGCTATCACTTGCCTAGAAACCATGTACTTCAAGCATAAAGCTTGAGAAACAAACCCAAAGCGACTTCTAAGCAAACTTCTGCTTTCTGCTTTCCCTTTCGATCAGGTTTAAGGATTCATCCTTCTTCCGCTGAATTTAAGGAGGAGCTTGCCAGAAGGAATGTGTATGTGTGCTATGTCAATGCCCCGCTGTACAGGGAAAAGGGACGCCAGGACCCCCAGCCACCTCCATACAGTGTTGAACATCCCTTCTTCCTTTCTCTTTTCCCTGTGCTGCAGGAGTCCCCAAGGGACTCAGGCATCCTGCAGGGAAAGGCAGGGCTGGTGCCTCCTTTTTCACACTTCTGCCTTTGTTGGAGGGTATGTAAAGAAAAACTGAACCTACTCAGGGACATGCTGGGTCCCTGTGCCTGCTACCCTCAAGATGTTCTACCTACAAACCAAAAACTTTCAAGCACTCGCACAGTACTAACACGTTTAAATGTCTCTCTTCCTTGTATCCTCTCAAACAACATTGAGGACACAGCGTTGCTTTCGAATTAAATATCAAGGTAGACCTACAGACAGCTGGACCGCTAGAAATTGCCAATAGAAATTATTTTATCTCAAGACGGTAAAGCCAACCATTGCCGTTGCTGCAGCCTAGCACAAAACCTGACTTTTTAATGTAAATATGAGTTGAAGGTCCTCCACACACTTATGTTTCTCCAGTTCTGGAGTCATATACTATCCTCACTTCCTTCACGGGCCCTATATTTGGTTTAGAGCCACCATAGCTGATTTTAGGCTCATGATATGGAGTCCATATGTGCTTATTAAACACCAGTGTCTGAAGGATTCCTGTGAAAACCTGATTTTCTGGTTCTTAAGAGCTTTTAATATGCTTCACTTGCAAATTCAATACCTGTGAATGTCACCTAAACTCCACCTAAGTTTGGTAAGCCACAGCATACCACTAAACTTTGAAGATGGTTAAGTGGCTCTTTACTAGTATAAATCTTTTTTACTGCCCAGTTGGGAATATTTTTTTAAACTGATGATAAGTTTATGCAGTAGATTGAGTCTGATATTGAATTTATGGGAATAATGTATTCCTTGTTCAGATGAGTTTGAAAGAAAAAAAGAAAAGAAAGCTTCTCGACTTGCCAACTCCTATTTTTTTCAGGATAGATCATACACCAAATTCTGGCCTTTGAATTCTCATTGATTTCAGTGGAAACATGTCTGCACAGCAGAAGGTAGGAGCTGGCAAGAGTTGCAACATGAGATTAAGATCTGTTATCACAGAGGGGCAAGAAAGCAATGGAAGATTTATAGACATATTGGAAACAGAGCAGGACAACAGTCTGGAGAAACATGTGTGTGTTACGATTTGTGGATGTGAAACATCTTGCCTTCAGTTGGACTTTTCCCAGATTTGGACATGCACACAGATGGTGAATGCTGCCTGAGATCCTGCTGACTCGCCTGCCTAGAACCCTATACCCTCACTGGAGCACTCTTCAACTGTCCAAGTCCTGTTTTCTGGGTTTTCATCCTATTTGTCCAGATTTGGGATCTGTGTACAGGGAGGAGGCTGACTCTGAGGTTCCTTCAAAGTCAGAACTCATTCTTCTCCCCCAAATAATTTTAATTGCTTTTGCTTCCATTCCCCCCACTACCTGGTTAGAAGGCATAGTCACTGCAGAAAAATTCTTGAAAATATTGTCTCTTTAGCAACAGATTTTCTGGGGACACTATTACAACAGAGTTACTAGTGTCCGGCATTCAAAATTAGTGGAAAAACACAACTGTTAGAATATGCATTATAAACAATAGTAAATAAAAAGTGATGTAAGTTTGAATAAATGCAAATAGAGTTTTCAGAAAAGCAGTGGGAATACCTTGCTTTTCTCAACCTGCATCCCATCCAGTAGGTATACTGTGTAATATCATCTTTCAGGGGCTTCCTGCTTCTACTTTAAGCACTAAGTCCTAAAACAAAGGTCTTCAGAGTTTGCTTTGTGCCAGGATCTCTTTCTGAACTTGATGTCTTCAGAAATCCTTTTGCCATGTGTATCTCTTATAGTCCTGAAAATCAGACTCATCTGGCCTTTGCATCTTGTGTCCTACATGACAGGCACTCTCTTGTTCCTCCCTCCTCCATAGCGAGAAGTGCCTGGAGTGTCATGGCTTTGTTTTAAAAAAATGTTGGTCTGAAAGAGTCTCCTGTTTCTCTTGGTATTTCTGGGTTTAAGTACTGGGTGTAGCCTTTAGATGCATCAAATCTTCCAACACAGGAAGCATTTGAAATAACTGACCCTTCCTTAGCCCAGCCCAGCCCTGCGCTACACTCCTGCATGCCATTTTTACTGCTGTTGCACCTGGCTGTGCTGATTTCTCCTTTCCCTGACCCCATCACATCAGCTCTCTCAGGTAGCAGGACTGTCTCTGCGGCGCAGGCTGCCCATCATGAAAAGCATCTTTCACCCCAGCTCAAATCCTCCAGCCCTCTAACTGCAGGGGCATGGCTGTCAGGGGTAAACCTGGGTGTTGGAGTGCTCCCAGAGCCTGTCATGGCATGGGGCAGCCTAGGGCAAAGTGCCAGAGCCAGGTCAGGACTTCACAGCTCCCCAGAAAGAGGCAGAGTTATTTCAGGTGTCTTCTCTAGAACCATTATGGCAAAGGTGTTTTTATTAAGCTGTACCGTAGTGCATGTGCAGCATGGGAATGAGAGTAACTGCTGCGCAGAAACCCTTACTCCTGCCTTCTCCTAATTCTGAGTATCTGGTTTTACAATCTCTAAAGTCTCTCACTGGTGTGTCTGTGTGTCTACTTACTTAACTCCAGAAGTATATGCAGTATTTTACAGTCCAAGGGAGGCAAAGTCATGCTCTCACAGAGCACAGTCTTCCTTTTGCATACATAAGTATCTATTGTATTTATTGTACAGACACCTACTCCGTGATTTTTTTTTTTTAAGTTTTGGACAGCATAAAGAAATCCTAATCTTGTGAGGATCTTGAAGAGCTTCTGTAATAAGAACAATAATACCTTTTATATAACACTGTGTGTAGCTCACTGGTTTACACGTGTGATGAATTCTATTTTTATGCATCTTTCACTGTGTCACCTTCACTCTGCCAGAGAATCCCTCTCCATTCTCTAGAAAAACTACTGTCCTTTTATTTCTGTTTGTGTGCATGTGTATTTCAGGCAAAAGTAAGGTAGCATGTAAAGCATATAAATAGTAAATCACCTCATTGGAAACTTTTTTTTTTTAGAAGGTTTACATTCTTTTAACCTCAGGGATTAATGGTGCAAAAAAAATCAGTGTAAAGCTGGAAACAGTTCTAGAATTTTGTTTTTAACTTCTCATGTTGAAATTCAGAAGCTACTTCCTCTGAAAAACCATGGAAGCAACAGGTTTTGAAGAGTTCTCTCTGACACTGAATATGACTTCAGAATAGCAATGGCAGTAACTGGGCAGTGAAGAGCTCTTGAGGGAGTGAAGGGCTCTTGAGGGAAACTCAGTGAAGGGAGTTTCTCAGAGCCATTCATAGGGAGACACAGATGCTTCCTCCTGCCTTGTTCATCTCATCTCATCTCATTCCTGATGAGAGTCCTGGTACTTGCCTTATGAAGTTTCCAGGAATATCTCCAGATGGGTTTCTCAGCATATCTTAATGGAAATATCAGCTCATCATTTCAAGAACTGACCATAACGATGCTCTGAAATATGCTGTACCTTGTGCACTTCTTTCAGCAAAAAAAATTTCTACCCAGGCACGGGAGATCCGTTACGAGGGCAATTTACCCTTGACAGCTCCCCCAGGGATAGCCTACCATCAGATCTGTTACATGACTGAAACATCCTTGATGAACATCATCCATTTTGAGAGATGACCCAAATACTTTAGCCACGATCCTTGTGGTCTGTGTGTGTGGAAGCACTTTGCCTCAGACGGAAGCAGAAGGGTTTGTGGTTAAAGCTCAGGCTGGGGTAGCAGGGTTATGGGCTTTCAGCACTGGGGGCTGAAGCTGCTCACTCCTGCACACACGTGTGTTACTTTGCCCCACATGCTGCTTCTCCATGGTGCCTCATCCTCCTCAAAGGCAGATTTGACTATCTATAAACACCATTCATAGACACTCCAGTGTAAAGCTTGCTACCAGTTCATTCAATGCTTAACCTCCCTGCTGAGACTACTGATGAAGCTGCTAATTAATTCTAATAGTCACAGGATTTTTGTGCATATATCCTATATTTATAGCTTGTTGGCTTTTGCTTTGATATTTTATGAGGTTGACCCATTTTGTATGTAATTAATACTAACAGTGAAAAAAAAAAAAAGAATGCAGTTATCTACAAAGCAATTAGCCACAGAAAATAATCTTCTATTTACAGATGTGTTCATGTGTGTATGTGGCTCATAAATTAATAGTCTGTGTAATATTGACTATGGATTTAAAAAGGACATTTGTCCCATTTTAAAAAAGGGACAAACAACCTTGCATTTTGACTGCCTGCAGTATTTTTCTGGTGCAAATGTCACCTTCAGAAGTGATCTTAGCCAACGGGCTGTAAGAAGCTGAGATCTTGCCCTGAGAAAGAACCTGGAGTAGAATATCCCCACGTCCTTGCCCATCAAAAGCATAGTTTGCCCTTCACAGCAGTACAGCACCAGATTGCTTCTCCATATATCTTGGGGGAAAATCTCCCATCTTTTAAATTTTTATTGCTGAAGAATACTGTATGGATTTGGGTAAATGAGGTATTTGCCTATTACACTAATCCTTCCAAGTGCTGTGAGCCTGCCTCACTATTTATTGCTGGAGGACCATGAGTCAGTCTGACCGTACAGAGCTGGCTGATGCCATCTTACCTTGAAGAAGGTCATTGTGGATCCATCTCTCACAGCCCCGTACTCTATCTTGGTTTGCTTTGCCAAATCATCTGCTGAATCAATGGGGGATTCCATCCTCTCCACAGTCAGGAAGGCAGCCAGGTTGGCAGTATAGGATGAGATTATGATTAAGGTGAAAAACCACCATATTCCTCCAACTATTCTGGTAGAAAGAGCTTTGGGCATCAGCTCTGATCCTGTTACAATATCATCAAAACAATCATATTAAAATGGTGCTGAAAGATGCCTTTCCTGATACCACAGTCTGTTTTTAGGCACAGAATGCTTTTATGAGCTGTAGTATGATAAAATGATTTAAACGATAATCTCACAGATGCACAGTTAACATTTATAATGGTAACACACTGTGAAGGGATGTATGCCATGATACATGACAAATGGAATTATCCTTGGGTCTAAGCCCCATTACATGTCTGAGCTAATGCTCACTGTAATATTAACCTCTTCCATCCCCAGCAAGCTATACTAGCATTTTTGTCTGTTTCTGGAATCCCTTTTTGCCAGTATACTGGCGTCAATTTTTTAATTGAGACCTTTAGCGGAATGCTATTCTGCTTACAAGCTATCTGACAGAAATACCTTACAAGAGAAACCTGCCCTGTGCATCCTATCAACACACTTAAGTAGAAACAGGGAGATCAGTACGGTTCCAGTGAACTCAGCCTGTGTGAACCTGAGCTCAAACCCCAGAACATGTCTTATTACAAACGTGTGGTTTACATTTGAAAATTCAGAAGATTAATGGTCATATCCTTTGGATCTACAGGGCAATGCAAAGTTTTGGACAGTGTATTTAACACTCATTATTGCTGAAAAGTTTTTAGCAGATCTGCCTGCATGTCACACCAACAAATACCAAAGTGATCTGCCATTGTCATAAAACCCCACAGTACAGCACAGGTTGGTGTAAAGTGCATTGAAATGGCTTCTAAACAACTCAGACAAACTGTATTTAAGCCACACAGGTACTCATATTTCTAAGCATTCTGATGCAACTTTTGTACTTTTTTTCTAGAGGTGTCACCAGTGGAGATGGCTCATTATGTGGGATTATTCAAGGATCTGGTTCAGCAAAGCACTTAGACAGCCGCTTGAATAATTTTGACTTCCAAGTTAAGCCTTTCCACAATTTTTTTTGTTGATGAAGGATGGATTTAAGAAAATACTGAGGTGCCTGTGAATGGAGATCTCAGCACGTAAAGCTTTTGATGTGACAAACATAGTTCTATTACTGGAAAAATCTGTTGATGTATTATCTCTGCCCAGCTATTTAATGATTTCTGTAAGAAATTTAAACTTGTTACAGAGAATATTTTCAGACTTTGCAAAAATTCTGAATGTCACTTTTGGGACAAAGGCCAAAAGGGTAAAAACTTTCCAAACAGTCAGCAAACAGATTTAACTTCGCTTTGTAAACATATAGACATGTCTCTTAAAGGTCAAAGCTAAGCATAGCCCAAGGGTTTGAGTGGGCTGACAGAATTGCCAAACTGCAAGAGCAGATGCTCTAACTGTGCAGCCTTGTGCAGCCCTGGTGCTGCATGGATTTCAAAATAAGCCAGCAGTCTAAAAGCAGAAACTCTCACTTGGAATTTTCAAGACCAAATGTACCTGTTTCAAGAGCTGGAGCTCTGTCTGGGTTTATGTTTGTGGTCTGTTGTACTTTCTTGCTTTTCAGATTAGATTTTTTTTTTTTTCAATACAATGCAATCTTTTCCTTTTTTTATTGTTGCTCGGAGGTAAAGTGTGTGTTTATTTCTAAGCTGAGATTGACCTGCAAAAGCTGGCTTCTAGGAGTGCTGATTCAGGTCATCCTGAAGGTATTAATTTTATTCTTTTTTAAGCTTAGAGAGCTATACAAATATAATTCTTATGCTTGGGCCCTGATGTAATACCTAGCTCTGACATATACATCCCAGTGATGCATAATATTTTACAGATATCTTAACAAGCAACCATGAAATCTGGCAGAGCAGCCTTACAGCGGCACAAGAGAGTAGGCGGAGAAGCCCTGTGTGCTGAATTTGTGCGGTGAGACGCCAAACCTCCTGTGATTTCCTCTAGCAAAAAGTTGTTGGTGAAAAAGCAAGAGCATACATTCAGTTCAATTAAGCTCAAGACACCAGAGTCTTTTAATTATTCAGTGAGCTATGGTTTCACTTTTATGAGGTGCTGAGCACACTCTTCTCCCAACTTAACCAAGCAGCCCCAGCATCTCTTTTGATCACTCCCATGATTATTTCAATGTTGACCTTTTCAAGGGCCTCGATTCCAGTGAAAAGCATTAATATATGCTCCATGCTCACTGACTTTGCCCTAAGCACTCTCCTTAATAGTATAGTCCTGGTCTGACCCACCGCCTGGCTGAACTGGGGCTCTGGACGGATAGCTTGCTTTTCTGAAAGTGATAGTTTCTCTGAATGGATTGGATGAAATGTGCCCTGTTTGGATGCTTTCAGAGTATGCATAACACATCTGAGACTTTCAGGGGAAAAACAGGGGAAGTAACGTCTAAATAAAAACGTTGCTAGCCAGACTCGGGGTCAGAGACAATACTTGCTGAAGTCTCTCTAGTGCCTTTTTATGGCAGACATGACAGCCAATCCTGATCCAGACTTTGCTCACGCTCTGTAGAAAAGAGAAAGTCTGATCATCACATTTTAAAATTTAATAACAAGTGGCTTCCAATCAAGCATAACAAGCAGCTGCTGCCAACAAGAAAGAGCGTAACACTAGACGTAGAGTTTCACAACCATTCACATCATGTTCAAACTCTTCACATTAACGATGATGCACTTACAGTCACACGTACCACAAGTTTGTACATGGAAACATTTGTGTTGCCTTACAAATGTTTTTTCTTTCTTTCTTTTGTTTTGTTTTTAATCTTCTTGAAAGAGAAGCAGAGTCTGGTTGGGGCTGACTGTCATGTACCCAAGGTAGTGGTAACGAGCAGACACTGCATCCCACAGTTTGCTGTGGATGATGGTAAACTCCAAAAAAGGCAGTAGATAGAAACACAAAATCCTGGGGCACTTTCACACACAGGGCAATCACAGTTATATACACACACCTGCCTGATACTGTAAAACCTCAGCCTGTGTTTCACTGATAAATTGGAAGGAAAACAAAACAAAAAAGCGAAACAGAACAGCTCTTCCTTCATCCAACCTCCTTCAAAGTCATTTCTATGAGGAAGCTTTATATCCTGTCAATACGTTAGTGCACCAATAAAAGCAAGTGCATCTTAGGTATAATACAAACTTTATTCTCAACCATATCTAGGAAAAAAATCCTCATTTTTTTTTACTGCTACTCATGTCTGTTAAAGAGGGAAGAATAAACTGTACCTGGATGAATGCAGAGATGGGTTTATATTCCTTACTTAAATGTTTAGGAATTTAATACCAAGTACTGCTGGGCTTTCCTCAGGATTGCCTTTTTGGTTGTTGTCGTGGGTGGGGTTTTTTTGTTCAGCTTTGATTCAACTTGAAATGTTTGTCAGAAAAAATTTTCATTCTTTTCAGTGGACCTCAGTTTTGGAGAATAGTGATTTAATTGGAAACCTTAGAACATACACACCATAAACAAATGTGTTTAGTACACATATCTGTTTGACTTCCCATATGGAGTAAGCTTCACTGCCCTTCCTTGTCAACTGAGTAAAATGTCAGCTGTTTCCAAAATCATCAGCAACAGGGACTTGTGACTATGTTAAGTTCATGCTTCTAGGGTTGGATGTATTTACAGAAGGATGGGACTCATACCTGCAGAAAAGTCATAAAAAAAGAGGTTTGGATTTGGTTTTAAACAAAGTGTTTGACAAGTGCCAACAAACTTAACAACCCTTCTGAAGAAAGAGCATCTTTTTTTTGTTTGTCAGTTAAAACAGTTTTTGTAGGGTAGCTAAGGCTGTTACTGACTCTGTTGGGATGGAGCCCAACATTTCCCTGTTGCCAAACCTCTTATACCAAGAAACTCAACTTGAGCATGAAGCACTTCACATCCCTCTTGCGATTATTTTACATTTCAGCTCCAGAAGCTCCCGTGTGGCCCTGCCTGCTTCCCTTTCTCTCTGATGCTTCCCCTCCTTCCTCTTGCTGCAGCCCTATTCTGGCTCTCACAGGTTCCCCTCCTCTTCCTGCTCCCAGCTGCAGTGGCACGACGTTTTCTTCCTTTCTTCTATTGCTTAGTTTCTCAGATCAGGTTTTACAGTATATGCTGTATTTACAGAGGGTGGAGTTTACCAGCACAGAAGCCCTTGAGCAGACTGTGGGACGTGTGCGATAACGAAGTGTAACCGGTGTACCTTGCTGCATGAGAGCTCCAACTCCAAACCAGAAACTATTTAGTAAAGTAAAATTGTTTTCCACCACATCTGAGTCTGGGTTGCACGGGTGGGGGTTATACCATTCATATGGTGTAAACCTGTGGCAGTTAACAGAAACAATCTGTAAACATCAAATAGAATACACACAGCGGCAGCA